TGGAGCACTGGGTGTTATGCACAAACAATGAATCATGGAACACTTCATCTAGAACTAATGATGTAATGTATGGGGATTAACATAAGAATAAAAAAAAAAATTCCAGTTAACAGATAGTGTAATATTGGTTTCAGGAGTAGAGTTTAGTGATTCAGTACTTGCATATAACACCCAGTGCTCATCACAATAAGTGGCCTCCTTAATACCCATCACCCATGTAGCTTCCCCCCACTACCCACCTCCCCTCTAGCAACCCTCAGTTTGTGCTGTATAGTTAAGAGTCTCTTATGGTCTAAGAAAGTACTCCAGTTTCATTCTTTTTCATGTGGCTGTCCAGTTTTCCCAACACCAATGGTTGAAGAGATCGTCTTTTTTCCATTGGATATGCTTTCCTGCTTTGTCGAAGATTAGTTCACCATATAATTGTGGGTCCATTTCTGGGTTTTCTGTTCTGTTCCATTGATCTATGTGTCCATTTTTGTGCTGGTACCATACTGTCTTGATGACTGCAGCTTCGTAATATAGCTTGAAGTTCAGAATTGTGATGCCCCCAGCTCTGCTTTTCAAGATTGTTTTGGCTATTCAGGGTCTTTTGTGGTTCCACACAAATTTTAGGATTGTTTGTTCTAGCTCTGTGAAAAATGCTGGTGGTATTTTGATAGGGATTGCATTAAATGTGTAGATTGCTTTGGGTAGTATAGACGTTTTAACAATATTTGTTCTTCCAATCCATGGGCATGGAATGGTTTTCCATTTCTTTGTGTCATTTTCAATTTCTTTCATCAGTGTTCTATAGTTTTCATAATACGGAGCTGTTACCTCTTTGGTTAGGTTTATTCCTAGGTATCTTATGGTTTTTGGTGCAATTGTAAATGGGAACGATTCCTTGATTTCTCTTTCCACTGCATCATTATTGGTGTATAGAAATGCAACAGATTTCTGTATGTTGATTTTGTATCCTGTGACTTTGCTGAATTTGTGTTTCAGTTCTAGCAATTTTTTGGTGGAGTCTTTTGGATTTTCTATATAGAGTGTCCTGTCATCTGCGAATAGTGAAAGTTTGACTTCTTCCTTGCTGATTTGCATGCCTTTTATTTCTTTTTGTTGTCTGGTTGCTGAAGCCAGGACTTCCAGTACTATGTTAAATAGCAATGGTGAATAGGGAGATCAGATAGGCTTCTTTAAGAATGTGACATTGTGGAGAAGACTTGAAGGTGATAAGGTATGAGTCCTGGTGGCAACCACTCAGGCAGAAGGAACAGGCAGTGCAAAGGAACAGGTAGGGACATTCTGTGCAAGGAGGTAGTATGGCTAGAGGGGAGTGGGATTAGGTCAGGAAGGTAGCTTGGCTTAGATCATGGAGAATCTTACAGGCATTATTGCTTTTACTGAATGAATGAAGCCACCATTTCAGGGTTTTGAGCAGTGCCAGTGCTTAACTTATAGTTTAATAAAATGTTTTGGCTGCCACATTTGAATGGACTTGGAGAATGGACGCCATATTGAGCAAAAGAAGTGCACCACTGAGAGAATGCATACAGTATGTGTTTATTTATATAAATACCCAAACTAACCAAACTAAATAATATCTTGTTTGGGTAGAAATACACAAGTGGTAAAACTATAAAGAAAACAAGGGGAGAAGCAAATCAAGAGTTAGGAAGGAGGTTACTTTCAGGGAAGAGCAGGTGATATGATGTGTGGGGGGCACACAGGAGCTCTGAGTGGCCATGTTCTGTTTCTTTACCTGAGTGGGATTTTTACTGGCTGTCACTTAATTAATACTTTTACTTTAAGCATATGTTCTAGACATATATTTCATACACCATAATAAAAATGAAAAGAGAAAAGGAAAAACCTTTCTCTTAGTAATAGCCTCAACTGTTTCACTGTTTTACACAAGTTGTTTTTCTAGATTAAGAAAAAATGATGGACTCTGAAAAACAAACTGAGGGTTCTAGAGGGGAGGGGGATGGGAGGATGGGTTAGCCTGGTGATGGGTATTAAAGAGGGCACGTTCTGCATGGAACACTGGGTGTTATACGCAAACAATGAATCATGGAACACTACATCAGAAACTAAGGATGTAATGTATGGTGATTAACATAATAAAAAAAAACTTTAGCAAACTAGGGATAGAAATAAACTTCCTTGTAACAAAGAAAAGAAAAAAGAAAAAAATTCAAGCTGTGCTTAAGTATCTGAGAAATTAAAGAGAAAGAAAATTATTGTATTTGGGTGTGAGTTGTCCCTGATAGGTGTACCTCAACTTTTGGCTCTTAAAATTATACAATAAAATGGAGAATTGGAAGTCCTCCAGTATATTATTAGGCCCCCAAAATCTCCAATATAGATAAACATGCTTATCAGTCAGGAAGTATTTTTCAACATCTGCTACATGTACAAGGACGTTTGGGAGTCCAGTGGAATATTTAATCTAGTTAACAAGAAGAGATCAATATACCAAACAATTAATTACCTAAGACGTCGTATTAATTGCTAAGTTGTGTGGCACTAGGTAAAAAGTGCTGACAGTAACATCTGTGAATTCCAGATGTAGTGCACAAAGTCCACATCTTTATTTTAGAATCAATAGTAACCTGAGTATAGAATTTCGTAGTCAGTTTTTATTACCACATTAACAGAATATATTATACAGTTTGTTGTGCATTTAAATGAATACCTAGTATCTTTTTTTTCTTTTTCTTTAAGTAGGCCCAATGGCCAGTACAGAGCCCAGAATGCGGCTTGAACTCACAACCCTGAGACCAAGACCTGAGCCAAGATCAAGAGTCGGATGCTTAACTGACTGAGCCATGGAGGCGCCACTGAATACCTGGTATCTTTGATATTTAATAATTTCACAAACACTTAAGCCAACACATTCAGCTTTCCCTTTATGATTCTTCATCTGCCCAGAATATTCCCTTACCATATTATATAGGTACAAAACAGCCTTTGAAAAGTGGACCATTCTTTCGGCTTTGGCATTTCACATAGTCTTTGGTGTGAATGAGATTAAGTATTTTAGCTTGAAACACTCCCTGCTGGGCTGTACACAGTATAAGTAATCAGGAAATAACGAATACTACAACTTCAGAAGTTTTAAATTTCTTGTTAATTATTTCAATAAGAACGTAAAAACTGGTAATTGGTAATTTTCTTCATTAAGCAAATTAAAGGAAGTATTTAAAGTCACTTTTGGGGAAACTGTTTAGTAGTGCTTTGCTAGGTTTTGAGATTTTTGTGAAATACATTAACATACTCTCTTTAAAATACAGTAATAAAGTTAATATATTTGCTGATTCATGCACATATATCATTTAGTGTTGATAATTTTCGTTTGGAGCTCTGGAAAGGAAAATTGTTTTAAACTTTCATAGCAAATGCACTCTCATTTTAGATGTCTACAGCCGGCAAGATCTAAGAACAAAATTGGCTGAGTTTACTGCCTGATACCAGCTCCACTTTACATAAATACATACAGAGAAACAAAAAGTTTTGTCTTTGTGCTATGCTTTGATGTATGGCTCTATAGCCCAAAATAAATGGTGTATTTCAGTGAACTATTGAAAAGTCTGACTTTATTATAATTGTGACTCAGTTCTCTGTTATGTATGGAGTCTTGAAATATTTTATCCTTGGAACCATTTGCATATGCTTGCAAACAGGTTAGTAGTCCCATAGGCTTTTTTTTGCTAAATTGTAACCATTGTCCCTTCCCAATTCTGGTCACCCCATCCTCCAAAGCTGTATTAATGTTGAGAATTATCCAGGAGGTAAAGTGAAAATGAGGAAAGTATGGCCTCAGAGGTATGTGTTTATCTTTTGCTTTATTTTATTAGACATTGTTTTGGCCTTAAGCAAAAAGAGGAAATTTGTTTTTGTGATTCACTTGCTTATATAAAGGAAAAAGAACCTCTTGCCTTTTTTATTTTTGAAAGAAAGACATCTTTAATAATTCTCTTTTAGGATTTCTTCAAGGTATGACATATACTCTAGATTAAAGGCATTTGTATAGTCAGCAGGAATCTAGCCTCTGTTCATATTAATGCATCTAAGAGTCGATTCTCTGCCAATACTATTCCTAGGGATGAAATTAACAACAAGTTGCAACTGCTCACGAATGTCAGAATAACTGGCCATCTGAGTGTCAGGAGTTGGTTGGAGCCATGTCTCTTTGGGGATTTTAAATATTCCAAAGGGTTTATGGAAACTTGAATCAGTCTAAATTTGACTCCCGCCTCCCCACGCCCCCACCATTGTTCTTATTGGGAAATTTAAACTACAAATTCTTTTCTGTGTTTAAGTAGGTATTCCTTGGAGTGTACCAAAGTGAGTAGCAATTATGTTGGAAGTAGGTGTGTGGGAATATAGTTTAGGAAGACTGCAGTATGCCCCAAGGTAATGATAAATTAGATAGATTGAAATTCATTTAGAATGGAGGGTTCTATGGCACCCTTCCAAAGGTTGCTTCTGATTTTCAGCTCTTTGAGGTATTTGATAGGGAGGTGCTATTAAAATTTACTTACTAAATAAGCACTTTCAATTCTATTATGGTTCCTGAATGTTTGATTCATATTAATCAGGCCTGGTTAATATTTTTTCCCTTGTATAGGCTGAGAATTCCTTAATGATCTCCTTGCGGGTAAGGATAGTGTCACTTTCATTATGTGTCCCTAGGGTACTCAGTGATGTTTGCAGAATGTCAGGTCAAGTGAGAATGCCCATTTGGCTTAAGATTAACACTTGCTTTCCCATTTTAATGTAACTACTACTAAAATAATTGTCCCCTTCTTCTTCCTTGTCTCAAAAAAAAAGTGCATTGAGGATTTGTGTTAAATTTTCACAAATAATACTACCCATGCTGTTGGCTAGGTTGTATTTAATAATCTCAACTGGGAAGAGTTTCATGCTGGAAGCAATGGAGTTCTATGCTAGGCATTTCCCTGTTTGTTTTCAGACCCATTCTGTGCTCTTACCCTTCACTTCTCTGTATTATGGGGCCAACACCTGCAGATTGTTTCTCAGGTTCTCTTATTAACTGGTTTCCAGGTAGGTTTGTCCAGTGTGAAAAGACTGGTGGGTAGGAGGAAGGAGAAGCCAGAACATGTCTTCCTGTCACCTTTTGCTTCAGGATGAGTGACTAGCAGTGGCTGTGTCTCCCCCTCATTCCAGCTCCCACCTCATAGCCCCTTCCACACTGGCCCCAGGTTTTGTGGGGGTCCTGGCTCCTGAGATTTGGCAAAGCACCTTTTCCTTTTATCCCTCTTACCCAAGTGGTGATAGTGCCTCCTTTTCTCTCTTTTGTTCTTTTTTTCTTCTTTCCTTTCCCCTTTTTTTTCTTTTTTTCTTTATTCTAATTGAAGTATAATGCAGATATCATAAAATTAACTCTTTTAAAGTGTACAGTTCATTTGGTTTTAGTATATTCACAAACTTGTGCAGCCATCACCACTGTCTAATTCTAGAACGTTTTCATCACCCCAGGAAGAAACTCTGTACCCATTAGTGCTCACTCCCCATTTTCCTGTCATCACAGCCTCTGGCAACTACTGATCTACTCTCTGTCTCTCTGGATCTACCAATTTTGCACGCTTCACACAAATGGAATTCTACATCATATGGCCTTTTGTGACTGGCTTCTTTCACATAGCATAATGTCTTCAAGTTTCATCCATGTTGTAGCATATATCACTAGTTGATTTTTATGACGGAGTTGTCTATTGTATGGACATACCACATTTTGTTTATTAAGAACATTTGGATGGTTTCCATTTTTTGGCTATTATATAAATAATGCTGCTATGAACATTTATGTACCCGTTTTTGTGTGAACCTATATTTTCAATTCTTGGATTGCAGTTCTCAGTTCTCTTGAGCAAAACAAGATTTACCTAACAGTAGAATGACTGGGTCATATGGTAACTCTCTGTTGAACCTTTTGAAGAACTGGACAGTGACTTCTTTCTGTTGCAACTCTTTGCCTTATCTCATTGTCTTCTTCTCTTTGGGCTTTTGGCTTTTCCAGCTCCTTTAGAACTAGTTCCCTGTGTAAAATATCCTTTATTGAAACACCTGGCATGAACTCTATTTCCTTGACTGAATCCTGACTGTGATGGTTTTCTTTATATTATACATGGAAGTCGAAGCTATATTTCTTCCTATTTCTTCTCTTTTCGTAAAAAATAAAGAAACCACAAAGTTATTAGCATTGTCAGGGAACAGAGTGTCTGTCTGGTTAATTAGATTCTGCAACTTAAGTAATTTGATGCCATCTCTAACCTGGTGACAGTTCTTTTGAACCTGTTTTATTTCCCCAACAGTCCCCATCTCTGTGTATAAGTAGTTTATTTGGAAAGGGATTCCAAGATGGTCTAGGAGAGGAAGAGGAAAGTGAGACAAGGAAGGGAAGAAGCCAATGCAAGGTGGATTGATAAGTAGGTGACTCTTGAGAGCAGTTGGGGTGCAGTCCTGCTAAGGACCTTTGAGAAATTGTACAGAGCACATCCTAGAGTTGTTCCACCTGAGAGGCATGGAGGCTGGGGTATCTCTTCACTGTATTTAATTTGTCATTGAGGGCTGCTCCTCAGAGAATTAATTCCCCAAGCCCTTTAGGTGTGGTACTATGACCAGAGAAAGCCCAGGCAGTGACCCAGGTACTTGTAGTAAGAGGAGCTGTGTGAGTGTGTGTGTGTGTGTGTGTGTGTGTGTGTGCTCGCGCATGCCGTGTGCGCGCTTGAGCTTCCATATGATGAAGTTTTAGAATATAAGTGAGGTCCAGAGCCGACAGCCAAGAAAGATTTCTTAAGATGTCTCTGGTGCAAAAAGGTGATTTTATTAAAGCACGGGGACAGGACACGTGGGCAGAAAGAGCTGCCCTGGGTTTGTGAGGTGTGGTTGATTATATACTTGGAAGCTGGGGAGGTGAGGACAAAGGGGGTGTTCAGAAGGACTGTCATATGCTAAAGACTCTCAGGATACTAGAGGCTTGGTTATTGTCAAGCCAAGGCTGTTTTCCCCTCTAAAGAGGCACTAACATGAAGACAGTTGGGAATTTCCTGGAGGGATATTACATTCCTCCTATCACACAGACTTGTCAGTGGGCTTTAGATTTAGAAGAAATTCAGTTTAATTTACATTTCCTTCCGGAAGCTATTGCTAAGGCTTTTGTAAGTAAACTGAGGGAGACTCCTGTCCTGCAAGACTGTGATCTCTATCAGTTAACCTTTCTTTTTCCTTTAGGGCAGCCCAGAGTGCCTGAGGAATGTCACACGTACCACATGGGGGTGGTGGTGTAGGGTGCCAGCTTCTGCGTTGTCCTCAGCTAGCCGCCTTCTCCCTCATCACATATGCATGTTGGCAGGGGCTGGGGGAGAGGATCTGTAAACTCCTTGAAGGTAGAGACCTTGCATTCTTATGTTTAAATTTTACTTGTGAATAATAATTAGTTGATTTTATGCATTCATGAAAGAAACTGCCAAGAGAAGGAAGCTTCCTGAATCTTAGGTGGGAACTGTCACCTATGTTTACATTAGAACTCTACTTTCAGGTATTGGTTCATGTCATGTTTAGAAAGAATCACAGATCTTCAGTTTGTACCCAGACCATCACCTGCATGGTCAGCACACCTTGAAAGAAGCCCCATAGAAATACAAAGTGAAGGGGCGCCTGGGTGGCTCAGTTGGTTAAGCGGTTGCCTTCAGTTCCTGTCATGGTCCCGGGGTTCTGGGATTGAGCCCCACGTCCGGCTCCCTGCTCAGCAGAGAGCCTGCTTCTCCCTGTCCCTCTGCCTGCCACTCTGCCTACTTGTGCTCTCTCTCTGTCTCTGTC